GTCGTGCGGTTTGGCTTTCTCCTGCGCTGGCCGTTAGCGGGTTAAAACCAAACACAGAGACACGCGGGAGCGGGAGGGTTAGTAGGGTCAGGCAGGCAACGGGAGGGGGGACCCGCAGCGGGATGGTGGGGGGGACACGGCGGGGGCACTCACCGCCACGACTTGCTGCTTGCGGGGGTCGATGATGCGGACCTTCTTGTCCTTGCAGGTGGTGACGAGGAGGCTGCCGTTGCGGTTCCAGCCCACGTTGTAGATGAGGTCGGTGTGCATGTCCTCCAGCACCAGCAGCATCTCCCCCGTGCCCACGTTCCAGAGGATCACCAGGTTGTCACAGCCTGCGGAGAACCGAGGGGGTGGACGCCGTCACCCCACGGATCCCTCTCTGCCCCCAGGGAGGGTGACCCGGGACCCCCTTACCTGCGCTGAGCAGGATGTTGCGGGCGGTGGGGTGCCACGAGATGATGCCCACCCGCTTGGAGTGTCCCTCCAGCGTCACCACCGGCTCCGTGATGTTGCGCACGGGGACGTAGTCGGGGATCTGCCACACCTGAGGAGGGGGAGGTCGGGACGTGGGGTGCCAGGGATCACCCCGCAGGGAAGCGCTAAGCAGCTGAGGGCCTTGGAGCCAATTAACCTCATCGTTAATCCCTGCTCAGGCTGCGGGGAGGGTGGCAAGGGGGCAGTAGCAACGCCTCCACCCTGGGGTGCATCCCCAGCACTTGGGGGCTGGTGGGCACAGGGAGGGGGGCACAGCTGGGGCGCATCCCCCAGCACCCCTCCACCCCCAGCTATTCCTGGCTGCTGAGTCGCCAGGGCGGGTATATTTAGCACAAACTGCTGCATCATGGAGAGAGCAGCCGCCGCCAGCGCGAACGCATGGCACCGGGGCTAAAAATAGGCCAGTGACACTTCGCAGGCGGCAAAGGGCGGGGAGGGGGGGATGCTCCACGCCGCTCCCCCAGCGCCCGCCGCACCCCTCCCGCCCAGGGTCCAGCCCCTCACCATGACGGTGGTGTCCTCCGAGGCGCTGGCGATGACGTTGTCATTGTGGGGACACCAGTCGATGTCCAGCACGGGCGCCGTGTGCCCCGTCACCAGAGGGTGGTTCTTGTCCACCCGTCCTGTCTGCAACACCGAGGTGCCGGGATTAAGTCCCCAGCAGCTGGGGGGGACCCTGTCAAGTGTCCCCCAAGCCCCAGCCTGGCCACCACGTGATGCTGTGGCACAGGCAGGGACACAGAGGAGGCTCCGGTGGTGGCCGGAGCTTTGAGTCTGCCTCAAAGGGGGAAACTGAGGCACACAGTGGGAATGGGGGTCACTTAGCATGAGTCCCCGTAGGGATGTGGAGGAGAATGATGGGCCCCGGGAGAGGTTGTTTTGTGTCCCCTCTGATGGCAAGGACGGACTGGGGACTGGGGACCCCCTCCTTGCTGCTGGGGAGGGCAGGGCAGACCCCCACCCCACTGGGATGCTTCCTGGGCAGCGTGTGTGCCCCAGAATTTGGGCTGGGGAGAAAGCAGCGGGGTGGGGGTTTCCTGCATCACCTCAGTTGCCCTTGCGATGTCACCTTTCACAGGTGCCAGTGATCACCCCAGGCTGTCCCTGCCCCCAGCCCCCACTTGAGGACGGGGCAAATCTGGAGGAGTCTAGGGCCACGGCAGCCCCCCAAAAGCAGAGCTCATCCCAGGGGGACCAGACCTCAGCAGCCTCCCCACTCACCTTGGCAAGGGGCAGGACGATGAAGGCCCCGCCACCACCGGACTCCACGATGATGGCCACAAACTTGGGGTTGACAGCACAGAAGGAGCTGTCACACGTCACCTTGGAGACGCGGATGTCCTCGTACATCTGGTCGGCCTTCACCGGTTGCCCAAAGACGTGCCGGAACTTGCTCTGGCGCACGACGCGGCGGCTCATGGCTGGAGGGGCACAGGGTCAGGCTTTGACCTTGCCCCTCACGCTGTCATGGAGGGGTTTGGCCACCTCAGGCCTTGCACTCCCAGAGACCCCTCCCCTCCCCTGGGCACAGAGGAAAGCCTGGGGACAGGTCCATGATGGGGGATGAGGGTGCAGGATGGTGCCTGACGTGGCTCTGACCCCGCGGCAGGGACCGGGGGCAGCCCTGGTGTGCGGGGGGGTGCAGGTGCCACAAGCGTTGGGGACAGGCGTCCCGCTGCCGGAGCTGGTTGGTGGCTGGGCCGTGACACGACGCGCAGCTGGACCATGCCCTGCGGCTGGCACTGGGGTTGGCACATGAGCAGCTGCAGTTGAGAAGCTGAGGGGACTTTGGGGCGGACACGGAGGTGCCACACCATCAGGTCACAGCTTGTCCCCTTGTGTCCCATCCTGCATCAGTGGCCTGAGGTCACCTGGCTCGACCCAACCCCCCGGAGGGAGGCTGTGCCTCCAGCACTGACCACCCCACGCCTCCTGCCGTGGGCCCCTGCCCCGGGGGGCTCCACGTGTGCACCCGCTCTGCACCCCCAATCCAGTTGCCTGGTGCTGACCCCGGGTGAGGGCTGGACCCAGCACAGCGACACAGCCCCGTGGGCATGCCGGGGTGCAGAGGAGCACCCCGCACTCAGCACGGCCCGGGGGGGGTCCCCAGCCCCTGGCCACGCTGCCCACAATCACCCATCTCTGTCCCGAGCCTGCGCTGCTCCTGGGACCTGCCGGGGGGGGCACTGAGCCCCTCGGGACCCTGAAACCCCTGGAGCTGGGGCTCTGCAGCACCCGTGAGTCACCGACCACCTCGGGGAATCCCCTGGGCTCTTTCGGGGTCTCAGCCATTGCCAGGGGCTGTATCCAGCCACAAACCCACAGCCCGGAGGGTCAGGCATTGCTGCCCCCCAGCCTGCAGGGCCGGTGCGGGCAGAGGTAGGAGCAGATCTGCTCCTCCGCGTCCTGGCCGGTGGCTTTTGGCCAGGGCACGTGCAGCGCCAAGCCAAGCCACATCTACCCGGTCCCTGGGTGTCCCCAGGGGCTCTCGTGGCCCTTCAGCATCATCCCTGGCCTGGCAGAGTGGGTGGGAGTTGGGGCCAGGCGCTGGGGGGGGCTGGAGTCCTGCTACCGAGGGGGGCTGGACCCCGGCACCGCTGGCATCACCCTCATGGCCCTGGGCATGGTCCCCAGCCCTGGGGAGGAGCGAGGGGGCTCCATGGGGACACCCTCGGGGTGTTCTGCAGCACCTCATCCCTCACCAGTGAGAGCAAAGCTTGGGGTGTAGGCACGCAGGGGATGGGGGACGGCCTGGCCGGCTGGGCAGAGGGCATGCAGGGTGCAGGCAGGGTGTAAGCAGGGCGTGAGGTGCAGGAAAGGTGCGGGCTCGGTGCTGGTGTGGTGCAGGCAGAGTTGAGCAAGGTGCAGGCAGTGTGTAGGGTGCAGGTTGGGTTGGGCAGGGTGCGGGTGGGTGTACGCAGAGTTGGGCAGGGCTGAATGGGGTGCAGGCAGGGTGCAGGTGGGGTGCTAGCAGGGTGCAGGCAAGGCTGAATGGGGTGCAGGCAGAGTTCAGGTGGGGTGCTAGCAGGGTGCAGGCAAGGCTGAATGGGGTGCAGGCAGGGTGCAGGTGGGGTGCAGGCACGGTGCAAGCAGGGTGTTAGTGGTCTGTAGGCAGGGTGCTAGCGGGCTGCGGGCACGGCAGCTGGATGGGGCGCAGGCAGGGTGGGATGGGGTGCAAGCAGGGAGCAGGCAGGCGGGGTGCAGGTGGGGTGTTAGCAGCGTGCAGGGCGTGACACAGGCAGGGTGCAGGCAAGGTGCAAGGCAGGAGAGAGGCAGGAGAGAGGCAGGCAGCCCCGCGCCCGCTCCCCGGCCGGGCATTACGTTGCCACAATTGAATCCGCAGCGGCTGCTCGGAACGACCAGAGGTCACTTTCCAAATATAGCCGTCTGCTCGGGCGGGCGGCGGGGGGCCGGGGGCCCGGGGGGCCGCAGCCTGTCTCTTATACA